GATTGAGAGAGTCTTCAGCAAACTGTGCATTTTCTCTTATTTGAGGACGGTTTCATACAGAGTTACAGTGATTTAGTCTTTGATGAGATTTCTGAAGTTTCACTGTGGAAAGTTGTTCACTGTGACCCATTTTTAAAGAACAAAAAGAGTCAACATCCTGTTTCTGTCAGTTAATGGCCTTTTCTATAGATTTTTTGGAGGGGGGGGGGGGCATCTCTCTTGATTGTGTTTTGTGTTAAACAACAGTGAAGTTTTACTAGGACATCAGCGCTAGTACTGAAACTCTGCTCTGTCATTGCTGTTTAGTCCTCTTTGTCCGGCTCATGCTTTCTGACCAAGCAGACCAGCTAGTTTGTGAAAGGTATTGCTGAAAGTTATTAAAACAATATATATAAATTATATAAAAACATTATTGGATACTATGTATCTAAAAATTTAAATCTAACCTAAAAACTGAGATGTTTCTTTGAAACGTTTTTGTTTCATACAGTTCACCCCAACATTGTCATAGAAGTAAAAGTTAATTATTGCTTATTTGGTTGCTGTGATCCTTAAAAGTTTAGCATAGAAGAACAAGAATGCTACATATGCAGTTTGACACACCCCTGCTATATTTAAGATAACCTGACTTAGAGCTGAGGGCGGATGCCTGGCAGTTTAAGACACACTTTAGTCTTTTATTCGTTGAACATTAGACTCACGGCCGCAAGCTGCTAAAATAAACGTGTTTGTTTTTCCATAAAGGCAACAGGGTTTCTGTCCGTGCTGTCAAATACAAACTGGATGCACAAGCCACCAGGGTGTGTTAACTGCACGGTTCCAGTCAGGGGTTAATATTTCGATTAGATGACACGGTTCACTTCAGAATCCTGCCACCTATGTGAAACGGCAGATATGACACTACGAGGAACGCATTTGTTGCACATCTGACAACATCAGCCTTTCTTACTCGCTTGTTTCGTCGATAATGTGTTGATTCTGCCACTTCTTCAGTGACAGCCGTGAAAACAGGAGATTTCTCCGGACACCTCCATGAAAACATTACGAACCTGTGGCCCCGCGCACGCAGCACGCTAGTACCGCAGCGCTCTGCAGGAAACCTGCACTACAGCTTTGTTGGAGGCGCACAGTCTGACACACTGATCATGTGTCAGTAAACAAAATGCAACTCGGACTTTTTCTGATTCTGTGCCTCGGTAGGGACTGCTGTGTCACATCAGGCTCTGTACTTGTCCAAAAAGACGAAGTTTCACCTTGATGACAGGAAGTGACATCCCCAGCGCCCTGATGGAGGCTTTCTCTCCGTCAGCGCGGTGCAAACACGGGGACAGGTTCTCACTCACCTTGAAAACATCTCCGTAGGTGCCGCACCCAATCCTGTGGATGAGCTCGTAGTCATCCAGCGGGTCCAGGAATGACACTCCTATCCGGTCCATGTCTGGAGACACCTCTTGCTGCTGCGGGGAGCCTGGCTGGCTTTTTACTCACACATAGCCGCTGCTGATATCGGCGGAGAGAACGGAAGCACGGGCAGGCGAACTCTGTGAAATGGCCCCGGGACGACTGATCGGAACCGGCTAATTATAGCGTTTAGGCAGGCAGAGGCAGCGCGGTGACACAGCCGAGAGCCGCTCGAGTCGGAGCACGCGTGAGCGAGCACGGTCCCCTCAGTAAGCCTCCCACCTCTGCGCGCTCCTGCGCCCTCAGATGAACATCCTTTTCAAACGTGGCAAAATCACGTCTGAAATAAACCCTTGGCACGAACACGCTTAAAGGCGTGATTTGCCAGCTCTACGAGAAAAGCCCGTCAGGCTTGTTTTAAAGTTTGATCTCAGTTAGTTTCCGCTTAGAGTTCTTCATACGTGTGACTTTCTCTCATCGCAATCTGGACCTGAAAATACTGACGACCTAACTGTTCAGATGGCAAGTTCAAAAGTCGCGCATGCTCACTGATGAGGTGAACATTTCTGTCAGTGTTTACTGTAACTGACTTCATGCATGTGTGGCTTTCTTACATGAACATCGTCCATCACATGCTGAAGCAGGAGGCTTTCAGCAGACTTTCAAACATGAAGAATATTTTTACTCCTTCTGAAGTATGAAAACACATAACTGTACATCATCACTTAACTCAGCATTTTACAAGGTCTGACTTTGGCCTTTTGCAGATATTAGCTTAGCATGTTATGAACTTTTTGAAAAATATTTAGTGACACTACTTTATAGTAGTGAGGCCATGCAGTCTGTGCCTTTTCTGTTTTGAGTGGATATGACGTGGAACTTTAGCGCACACTAGTCAGCTGACATCACTGCCTGATCTCCTTTTGCTCAAGCAGAGCTCGTGTCGTCTCTGGAAGATCATCGTGAGGAAGGCGAGCCACTAACGTCCTGCATGATGTACCAGAAGCATACTCACAGCATGTGAAGGCGCCTTCATATATATGTAATACACATGATTGGACCACATGTCGTTCCGTTTTCATCAGAGCTTTATTATTGCAGATAGAAAAACAAGAACACAAACCACAAGTCAATCAAATTTGATGGAGCAGTGCCATCTAATGTGGCTCTGTCTCAACAGTGCATGGTCTTACTGCTCTCTTCTCATTGTTAGAAATCCGTCTAACTCAGCTATTCTCAAAACTAAAGGCCACCTACTTTAAAAAAGAAGAAAGGCAAAGTAAGGCAACATAGAGCTGATAAGAAAGAAGCTGTCAGTAGAGCAGAGTGGACAATGTTACACAGTAACTATCCTAAATTTAAACACTTCTGAGGCTTCAGTCATGAACAGGTTAGTTCATGTTGGTATTTTACACGTCTGAAAATCCTGTTCTGGTCCTCATCACTTTGGCTTTAAACATCCAGACAGCATGTAACGGATACCTAACAGGCTGCCAATCAAAACGCAAACTGACGATCAAACCAGGCACGTCTCCAGAAACCATTTCTTAAATAAAAACTCAATTAAATGTTCCAACCTGATAAGTGACGCTTAACTCAAGATCATCTGTGCATGTCAGACATATTGCTCGAACTAGGATATTGACTGAGAGGGCCCTCTGGGTGAAAACACTGGTAAAAACGTTGACAAGCAGGATCGAGGTTAATCGGTGTCCCCGTCTCTGTTCACAGTATGTCCTACAGTCTCTTCCTGCAACAATCAGGATGTCTACAGTGACTTACGCTGGCGCTTCAGGAATGACATGGAGTAATCTCCCGCCGGAGTGCTCTTCTGCCTCTTCATCTGGACCTGTGACTGTGCGGTGAGCTGCAGCTTGATGGCGCTGGAGTTCACCTTGGCAGCGCACAGGAGCTCCTTCATCCCCTTCATCTTCTCACTCTGAAAGGCGATTACAGTGCCAGCTGGCGAGAGGGGGGCCTGCTCCGGGGAGAAAGGAGAAGATGCGGAGTCTGGGAGACTGGGGGACTTGGGTTTTCCTTCAATGTCTCCAGCACGTAGTCCCTGGGAGGAGCGCCGGCGGAGCCCTCCTTCTCCCACCTTCTTGGGCTGAGCTGCCACTGCAGCCGGCTGGCTGCACGGGGAGGTAGGAGCGGCAGAAGGAGGAGAGCTCTGGTCCTCCAGCTTGGACTCCCTCCTGGGGCCACGCCTGCGCCCTTCCCTGAAGTCCTCGCTCGACTGGTCGTCGTCGTCCTGGGGATCTGGCTCTTTGGTGATGATTGTTACTTTCTGACGCACCTTTGGAATCGGAGCACAAATGTGTGTTTAGCTAGAAAGCGCTAACACGTCTGTGGCTCTCCTGCAGTCACGGGCAACTCACCTGGGCATCAAAGCGACTCAGAGACTGGACAAGGTACGTGGCCCAGCCCACATGAAGGACCGGCGTGGGACTCCCCTCCTCCCACTTGCAGATGCCGTCATAAAAACGCAGCAGATGGGCAAAGCACTCGGGGTCCTGCAGTGCAGAGACAGCCGCTGCCTGCTTGGGCTGATCCTGCAAGAGAGCAGAGGTGCAAGACTGAGGCCACATCTGTCAGTGAGTAATATTCATGATGTGCATCTAACAAGATGATCTAAACTCAGGTGGAGGTGCGCTCTGTTGGTGTCTGTTAATGTTCACGAGTTTCTACATGTTCCACATGCTTTATCAGAGAGAAGCTGAATTTGGAAGTCATCTGATAAGGAGCAAGAGAAAGAACATGTTCTGTTGGGTTGAGGTGGTGGTGTGATTGTTACTGAAGAGAGAATTAGAGCTTTGCATTATTACAGAACAGCTGCTAGTGGAGCCCTTCTCCACCTACGGCCTGTCTGTGGGTGTATGTGCTCTGGAGAAACATTCACCTCGTCCCCTCCTTCTGTCTCCTCTCCTCCCTCCCCAGGACTCTCTGCTGCTGTCGCTGTTTCCTTCAGCAAGGTAGGGATGACATCATTTGCAATGTCAAAGAACTCCTTGTAGATCTCCTCATCCTCGCGGAAATAGTTATAGCTGCAGGAAGGTGGAGAAGGAGCTTTAATACATACATGCGCTTTTCTCCTGTCACAGCATGAAGTCCAAAAAATATATAAGAGTACAAACAGGATGCTGTGACATGTGGCAGACATGACAACAAGTGAGGAACAAGTGGACAGGTTCAAAAAACAAAACAAAGCACGGGCACATATTTCTCTGAGGCAGCAGAGCGTGGGCTGAACCTGAAGAACAATGGGGAGCAGGAAACGGAAGCTGATGGATGTGGAGAGAATGTGTGTGGTGGGTCAGAGCTGCTATTTATAACTGCAGATCATGAACAGTGTTTAGAGGGAGGAGAGCACATGAGGATGCAGAGCTGGATACTTCCTGGACTGAGCACCACACCTTTCCAGGCCAAGTGTGACTGAGCCCTTAGTGGTGGCTGGGTTCATAACGAAGCAACAAAGCACCCACAAAGAACCACAAGGGCAGGAAACACAGCTGCTGGTTTAGTGCCATCTTGTGTTCATCTGCTGAAATAGCATTCACGTACAAACGTCATCTGGGACCAGCTAAAAGAAGAAAAAGGTGTCTAGTGTCTGAATAACACTACTTAAAAGTGAGATCAATATAATTTTGTTTTCTTCTATTTGTCACTTTATCCAAACACTTCATTCAGAATCATCAGCACGCTGGGGGAGGAGCTGTGAGGATGCAGAGATACTGGACGCTTCCTGGATCAGGAGTCTCATTAGTGTGAACTTACTCCTGCATGACCTGGGCGGCCTCAGCCCAGGACCTCAGGGCCTCCCGCACACTCCTGTGCCTGTAGTGGAAGCCAGCCAGGTACATGTAGGGGTAGATGTGCTCGTTGTTATAGTGCTTCTGAGCAGAAGTGACGGCCTGAGAGACACAGACAGATCAAAGAAAGTTTCCAAAATGATGCTGAACTCAGAATTAAGAGGGTTCAGTATCAGCGTTCAGCAACAGGTCATGGTGGAGACGTTTATTCAGTTTGACAACGAGCAGCAAACCAGAAGTCCAGTGATCCCAACAAGCACCTGGACCTGAGCATCAAACAGGAAGAAGGGTGTTAACCAGAGAGATGCAGCAGGTGTGCAACTTCCTGCATGCTGTCACCACCAGTACCACCAGTACCATCACAGTACTGCTTTTCTGTGGAACCGGCTTCCAGTTTGGATTCGGGAGACTGACTCTAGGCTGTGGGGGATTCCCATGATGCCCTCAGTCACCTTTTTCACTCTCTTTGTGTTTATATCTTGGTCCTCTTGGCTCCAGCCGAGCCTCGGGCACATCGGTGTTATTTTGGATTCTGCCATGTCCCTAGAGCAACACTCTGGACAGTTAATTAGGAACAGCCTTCTTCAGCTAAGAAACATCTCCAAACTGAACCTTGTTGTCTAAATGTGAGTTAGAAATGCTTTTATTTCATCTCTCTTAGATTGTTGTTAAAGTCTTTTTCTTTGTTTGAGCAAAAAGAATCGTAACCGTCTCCAGTCGGTCCAGAAGGCTGCTGCGAGCCTCTTAACAAAGGCACAAAGACAGCACTGGTTTTACTCTCATTACACTGGCTCCCAGTACGTTTTAGAATTCATTTCAAATTCTTAGTACTGACTTTAAAGCTCTGAGTGGTGACGCTCCTGCCTACATCTCTGATCTTTTACAACCCCACGCTCCCTCTCACAGCCTGAGATCAGCCCCACCAACACGTTTTAAGACCAGAGGAGGTGGATCAGTTAGAGCGGAGGCCCCCAGGTTATGGGAAGCTTTACCTCAATCGTAATGTTGCCTTGATTGTATTTATGACTTATTTATTTAGACTGGCACAATTAGGGTTGTGCTGTATGATCCATTGTGTTGTTAATGTTATTGTGAAGGACTCTGTGGCTCTTATCCTGTGAAGAGTGCTATACAAGTAAAGTTATTGTGTGGATGCTTTAAGCATCCACACTGCATTTTCGCAGGAAATGCAAATTTTTCTAGTTATTATTGTTTTATACACCACTCT